AGTATTTTATTAAAACATTTTTTTTTAATCTACATCTTGGCCTTGTATTCTTTTTTCCTGTCTTCAGGAAGCTGCTTGAAAAATGTTTTCTTTTTCTAAACTGATTTTTGAAATGACTATTGTTTCTTCTTTGATTTGGTTTGGTTCTGTAATTAATGTTTCTTAGATATCTTTGCTGTCTTCTTTCATAAGTTTGTCAATAACTTGCTTTTTCCAAGGTCTTTTTAAAATAATATTCAATATAAGCCTATCTTTTTTGCAAATTAGGCTGCATCTTTTTTTCTATATTATTAATAATATTTCATTCAATTCTTATTCTCTCTTTTTCTTTAAGTTTTTGCTCTAGTGTTTTTATCCAACCTTTCATCTTTTTAATCTATTCTGCTGTCTAACTTTCTTCTATTTGTAGTACTGTTGTTTTATTTCTCTTGTTGATTAAATTAATTTGAGTATTTGTTAGCAGCTTATCAATTTCATCTAACTTCTGGTCTACTTTTCTTACTGCTCATCAAGTTATTCTTCTTAAGTTCTTAGTGTCTTTGAAAAGAGAAGATCTATCTATAGGTTTCTTTATTTCTTCTGGTCTATACTTTACTATTTTAAAAACTATGTATTTGGAAGCTGTTTTTAAAATCATTTTCTTAATTATTTCTCATTCTTCATTTATTTCTTCTTTCATTTTTGGCTCTTCTCTTATTATTTTCTTCTTATATTTTTTTGTTTTGGATGTTTAATTCAAGTCTTACTTGTAACATTTTCTTTACTGTTATTTTATATTTTTCTTATATCTTCTCTGTTGCTTCTTTGTATAGAAAAATTCTTTGTCTAGGCATTTCTTTTGTTCTTCTTGCTTTTTGTACGTATTTTAGAACTAAGCCTAGGCCAATTTCTGCCTATACTAAATTTTGATCACTATTTGTTATAATCTTTAGCCAGCTGCTCATATATAATCAATTCTTGTCTTAGTTATATTATTTGATTATATAAACTTTCATTGTATTGGATAACAATACTGAAATCTTTTTATAAATTCAATACTTCTTAACTATTCTATTAGTGGAAGCTTCTTCTGTTTTTTACTTGTGCTACTTATTGTGTCTAGCATTGAGTCTAGTATTCTGTTGAAGTCTCTCATTATAATGTAATGAGAGTTTTTTTTGGCTATGCAAACATCTTGTATTATAACTCTTTATATGTTTTTTTGTAAATTTTTATTATTTAGTAACAAATACATAATCTAGCATATAATTGCTGCTTTTTTGAATGTGAATACCACTTTAATCAAGTATGCATTTAGTCTTTTTATATTTGTAATATGTTTGCTTTACTCACTGTTTACTAATATGCCTACTTTTGAGCTTTTATACTTGTTTTGTTTTGTACTTAACCAATAATCCCTATAATTTTTTTTTTGTATCTCTATAAATTTTGGTTCTTTCTTCTTTATATTGGTTTCTGTAATCTCTACTACATTGAGTTTTTGATCTTTGCAGTAGTCTAGTAACTCTTGAAGTTTGTAACTATTTCCTTTAATGCTGTTTATATTATATACTTCCAATTTTATTACTTTATATTATTCTTTTTCTTTTATAACTATTCTTGTTCTTGTGAGTTCCTTCTTGTTTGACTTTATTTTTACTAAGCTGAACCTTTTCTCTGTAGATACATTTCTAAAGACAACTGTGACAACTGTCTTAAAAGTAATTGGAAGCACTTGTCTCATTTTTTATTTTTTTAATAGTTTTTTATATAATTTTTCTTTAATCTTTTCTACTAATCTCTAAAGAATTTCTTTGATTGCTTCTTCTTCTTTTTCTTCTTTTTTATCTTGCTTTTTCTTTTTGCTAGTTTCCTTATTTCTTTTCTTCTCTTTATTTTTAGGACTCAATTTTCTTTACTATTTCTTTTTCTTGCTGTTTGCTGTGGTTGTTCTTAAATTTTTATTTTGAAATTTTTATTGGCTGCTTCATTTCTAATGTCTAGGCTCTCTTTATTTCTATAACTACTTTCAGTTTTCTATTCTAGACTATGGATAAAATACTTTATTCTTCTACATATCACTCTTTTTTTGTCTTCTTTATTTCAAATTCAACTATGACCTGGCTGCTTTGGTTTTCATTTTTGTTTAAGAAAATATGTATGATTTTTGCATTAATGTTTCTCAACTGTCTTAGCAAAAATGTTTTTTTTGTAAAACTAGATAGTTTCTTAATTTAAGCATAAATATTTTTTCTTTCTTTTAGTTTTGAACTGTTACTTTTTCTTACTGTTATTCTTACTAAGTGACTATTTTTTAATGATAGTATCCAAATTCTTTTTATTTTATTTTCAAGATCTTGATCTGCTATACTCTATTCTATTCCTGCTCAAGTTTTTTTATTCATATTATATCATATGCATATTTTATCATATTTTTCTATTCTTTTGACCAGTTCTGATACTTGTTTTGCAGTGATGTTATACAGAAGGTTCCAAATTGTACACAATACTTTTTCTTCTATAGATTTTTGAAACTTTTTTTCTTTTATGTTTCTAATCTTAATGATTCTCTTCTCTTCTATCTTTTCTGTCTCTATAATCTCTATCTTTTTATTTATATCTTCTTGAATACCTTCTTTGTCATTAAACTTTTCGTTTTTCTCTTTTTTATTTTCTTACTTATTCATATATTTCTTTTTTTCTTCTATACTACTATAATTTTCCTTCTTTAGGTTGTTAATAAAGTTCAGAATTTATTATTCTAATTCCTTATTTTTATAATTAGTTGTTCCTGTTTAAAACAGAATTTAAAATTTTTATTAAATATTTTAAACAATAAGTTTATAGAATCAACATTTATTGAAGTATCTACAAGTATTATATGATATTATCTTTACAAGAAAAGGTTTTTTGAAAGGATTGATAAAAGAAAACTATATAATAATAAACTAAATTATATGTTTTGTTTACAATAGATGAAAAAAAGAAAAAATTGAAATAAAAAATGAAAAAATATTATCTAAAATGATGAATTATATTATGAAGTTTTTAAAGTTAATAGTCATAGATATATTTGACAAAAATCTAAAGAAAAATATAATATTGATTATTTGATTCTAATATTTAAGTCAAATCAAAAAGATGTGATAGTTTAGAAATGTTTTAGTTTATATGGTTTAGAATCTTTAGTCCAAGTTTATGAAAAAATAAATTCATAAGATTATATTCAAGTTTTTGAAATTGTTTAGTATATATTTAAATAATTTAAAAAATGTAATGAACCAAAAAGATATATTTTTCAAGATAATAATATTAAAATCCACATCTCAATTTTTACTAAGAATTGGTTTGTTAAAAATAATATTAAAGAACTTATTTGATCTTTATACAACCCTAATTTTAATCACATTAAATATATTTAGAATGAATTAAAATATCATATTTATAAGCATATCTCTCTACTAGACAATGAATCAGAACTATTCAATTTGTTGCTAGAAGAATGGTTTAATTTGAATGATTCTGTTTTAGAAAATTCTGTCAAAAGTATGTCCTAACATGTTTATGCTATAATTGATGCTAATGGATACCCCATCTGCTATCAAACTATTGTAAATAATTTTTTACTTTGATAACTAATAAATAAAAAAATGAGACTCAAATTAATAAATAGAGTGTCAAAATTTTGTTGCTAAAAAAAGTTGTAAAAAAAAGATCTTTATGTATTACTAATAAATTTTAGTGATTTATAATAAGAGAGTATACAATAAGACAGAAACAATCTAACATGAATCTAAGACAGTAGTTGAGGAACATTTCGAAAGAAATTCAGATAAATAAAAAATAGTTAGAAAATGTTTTTATTTTATGATTTTATCTTTTCTTAGAATACAATTTTAAAGAATTTACTGATTATTAAATTTTTCTTTGTGAAGAATGGGAATTGTATATTAATTGAATTACTAATTCTATGAACCATATATTTCTAGGAACTATATACTGTTCTTTTTTACCAGAGAAAATCCAACCTGTATTTATAAAAAAACTATGGAGAAAAAAGAAGAATTCGAATACTTCTCATAAGACTTTGACACCTTTTTCCTTTTTTTTATAAACCAGGTTTCATTTCAATAGCAATTTCATCTTGGATTTCATTTTTTCAATGATGACAACCCACCATCATTAATGATGCATCTATCTATATAACATACTTAGTAATCCTACAACTTGCTTTGCTTTACTGACCACTATATCAGATAAATACTGTTTAACTATGAGATCTATACATTCAATAGAACTTAGATGGTGTATACAGCTGCAAAAAAGATTGTTGTTCAATTACTCAAGGTCACAGCTGTTTTGCGAGGGATGAATTTGCCTATAGACCCATTCCTGGTTTCAGTATGATTAGGTCATACAGTTATCTGGTATTTAAAAAAATTGTACCCATATAACTGAAAAGGAAACATCTAATCAAAATATTTATAAAATGAAATATTCTATGATCAAATGACTAAATGAAAAATTCGTAAAAGATATCATTACTTCCCACAGCAGGTTAAAGATGCAATTCACAAATGTAAAGTTTGTATTATCAAACGAGTTTTTCAAAAAACTTCTATTAATTCATTCAGTAGTTTTCAAAGGTTTCCTAAAATATGTATGTAAAATTAATTTTTCTAATAAATGCAGTACTTTATTAACATCCTAAGAGAAGAAGCTAAAAAAAATTGACATCTTTTTATCATTGCAAAAATGGCCATTTGCAACACTAAAACTAGTTCTTGCCAAAAAAATATATATATTATGTACATGATTTTGTGTACTTACAAATTCACATTTAAATTTGTAATATTTACATATAATAAATTTTTATCAATTTAACCGATTATAAAGTAAACATATGGTATTTTTATATGTCAAATTCAAAGCGAAATAAATTGAAAAATGACGAAGAATAAGTATACTATTTCTTATCATTCTTGGATTACAATATTGTGTAATATTTTTTTAATATCACATCATTTAACAATATTTACAAACACCAACTCATCTTCAATAAATGTAGGTGCAACCAAAATAGAATAAAGACCACCAGATTCAATATTATCACGAGCTATTGGACATTGAAAGGTAACTTTTGCAGGATTTGATTTAGTTGAAGACAATTCAACAACTGTCATCGCTAAAGCGTATACATATCTATAAAAAAAAAAAAAAAGGTCTCATTAGAAGTAAATTTCTTTTGTTGAAATATGATAAAAAGTACTTACTCGCAATGAGTAGAACCACCCAATGCTCGAGAGGACTCGCAAATGCGTACAGTAACTGAAGGTGTTTGTTTATATTCTTCGAGATAAAAACCCAGAGTGACATTTTCACTTGGAATACATTCTATTATATCATTCTGAACCTGAAATCCGCTATGTAAAAAAAAGACATATATTTTTTATATGATAAATAAATAAATATAATAACATATATATGATACATTGTAATATATAGAATTATGATTATAAATTTTACCAATCACGTAAAGGACCGGATTGACCACGAGTACAAGGCTCCGTTACGAAGGACAAATTATTATGTAAAATATAATTTATAGAATCGTGATTATTAGAATTCCAATTTTTGGTAAAATTGCATTTTGCTCGAGAAACAGGATATCCGTATGAAGTAGTATAATTAGTCAGTTCCCATTGAATAGCATTGCTACTGTTTAAAACCAAACTTCCCTCACAGAGAAAACCTAATTAATAAAATATATTTTTTTATAAGATATAGAGTAATTAAATATATTCAATATTAAATGAAGTATATACCATCCGGATTTAAATCATCACTTAAAAGAGCTGTTTGAGCAGGTAAGCCTGTAATATCGATCCATTGACAACCCTAAATGAATAATAACAATAGTTTCTTTAATAAAATTTTAAAAATTACAATTTACAATATATTGTATAATTAATATTACAGTAATATTACAGCAATATTACAATAATATTACGGTACAATTAGTTATAGTTACTGTACCAATCCTGCTACATAGTCGTCTCCCCAACCAACACTGATCCCTTGATAAGCACAAGTATCATACGGAGTATTTAAATAAGTGTATTCTGTATTAAAGTAACGCCATGTAGTTTGCAGACAAAATCCCACTTTATGCCCAGCTCTGAAAATTATAATTTATCAGATCAGATTGATATTGATAAAGTAAATAAATATAAATATAACATACGTTTGACCGAAAAGAAATTTTCCATAATGTTGAAAATGCTATTAAACTTAAGTTAGAATAATGATATTTAATAAGTATATAATCACTTTTTTTTTAATTCTTACAAAATGTTTGTGGCAATTATCCCATTCAAATACACCATGATACAAGTAATCAGGATCAGTCACATTTCCTAGATGAATATCTCTTTC